CGTGTGACCGAGATCGCAAGTCACTGTGTGCATTGTCCCATAATCTTTGCTTTAAAACCTTTTGGGCGCCTTCATAGCCCAGGTAATACAGTTGGGGGGGAGACAGACCAATAGAGGTGGCTTTTTTAGCCATGGTTTTCTGCCATTTGCTGACAAATTCCTCATTGGTCAAATGTTGGTACAGACCCTTCCCTAGATTAAACACTGAAATCCTGAGCCAATGTCTTAGGGCAGCCCACCACGCTCTAGCTGAAATTGGGCATTCACCAGCTTCCAACAGAAGTACGGAGTTGGGGACGCAGTTAGATACCTGCAGTAGAGATCGTATAAATTTTGCCTGAAAGCCATCTAGCTTTGGCAGGTCCCCATTATGCCAGACATTTGCTGCATACAGGAGTTGGGAAACGGGCTTTGCAACAACAAAACAAAAAACAACCCCTTGTGAAAATTCATCAGCGCTTTAGTATTTTTTTGTGTATGCAATTTTGCCTAATAAACACCATTTTGCAAAGCAACTTTCCCTAATATAATTCATTTTGGGTATGTTATTGTCAGGAATATACACATTTTTACATCTTACCCTAGCATATGCATTTTTGTACACCTTACTTGGCTCACCTTACTGGTGAGCTGCATTGCAAGATTGAGAGACATGTGCATTCCGAAGATAGCTGTGTTCGCATTTTATTTCAGAAAGTTCAAATATGGCCGATTCACCTTTAAATGCGAACTTAATCAAGTTTCTCTCCCATCCCCAGTGCCATGGCAGAATGCAGTCCCTGACGACCCCAAACATTTTTACAGGCTAATGGAAGCCCCATCGCCACCCACAAGCTTCCCTGGTTGCCTCTGACGTTTGTCTCATGGGCAGAAGGTGGGGCTGGAAGCTCCCCTAGGCTGGATATGAATCAAGCTGGACTTCAGTGAGTTTATTCAGGCCTAATCTGGAGTGTGCCTAAATTAACTTATTGAAATAATAATAATAAAAAAACCATTCCAATTTGAGCCCACAGATGTTGGTGTGATTTGAGTGCTGGAAAAATGTCATCCCACTGTTTCACATTGTCCCTTAGCAAGTAAGAACTTCCAACAGCAGCTGCTACAAGGTCAGTTTTCTCTTGGAAGGAAAGAGTACTAGAGACTTTGTATAGTGGCTTTGCAATACCTGCATATTTACAAATAGCACGTGGGGTGGGTGGGGTGCGGGATGTCCTTACAGCTGCAGCATTTTCTTCAGATGCAAGGAATGTATTTTTTTCGTTATCACCTTCCTTCTTGAACAAAAATTGGTATTTGTTTTGTAGGAAAGCTGTACTTGAAAGGTCACTAGTTCATCCTTGGGAAACCAGTCTTCTCGGAGATTTTGATAATTACACTGTTTGCAGTGTTCTGAAGTCTGAAGATAAGCTACTCTCTATTGAAATTTATTGTTAATTGAGTTTGATTTTCCAGTCTTAATTAATTGATTAACATTAATGGAGCCATCTGCTGTTCCAATACTTGCCGAACAACAACAGTAAGAATAATTGCTTATGAGAATAGTTCGGGACGCTGAAAGCACACTCGTGTATGGGTGTAATTAAGTTTCTGGTTTTCCTCAGCACTACGAAAACTAAGCTCATGTATGTTTACATTTTGACAAGCTTTTAAGCAGCCAGAAATACATTTATTCATCAACCACTACCAATGTGTTTTTGACACGATCATTGATATGGGAATTCTATGAGCTGTTTCCACAACACTATAGCCTTTTAATTCTTGCCAAACCTTGATGAAAATGTGGCACATTATATGCTCACTCTTCTCTGCTTTTAAAAAAAGAACCTTCTGCACCCTAGGAGTCCAAAGAGATTTGACCGCTCAACTGGCAGACTAAACACAGTTTCTCTGAGCTAAAATTCTTACTCTAGGCACAGAATGCATCTTGAGAGCATTTCAATCCTACAAATTTTAACAGGTCTGGATTGTACTCACAGGGTCACTGACATGTTTATGCCTTCTGGTTTGGGTGGCAAGTGCAAATCACAATTTGCCTATATGGATGTAACAACAAACCATGGCTTGCCACAAATGAGGAAATCACTGATGTAGTGGCATGCACTAAGGGAGGAGGGAGAGTGATATATGTGAATAGATTCACAGAGCTGGAAGGTAAATTTCACTTACTCACCTACCACATTTATATCCTACTCCTCATCCTGACCATTCAAGGCACTCCACATTTTATCCTCATCATGATGCTGTGAGGAAGGTTCATCTGAGAGTTGGCTACTCATTCAACCCAGTTGAGCTTTAAGCCTGAGCAAAGACTTCAGCCTGGGTTTCCTATCCAAAGTCAGTCCTCTAGCCACTGCAGTCTCTTCATTACTCACATAGAAAGCTGCTCTTTACAGTGACCTCTGTAACTTGATGCAGTGTGGGAATACACCTTGCCGCATGCAAACTCCTGGGTGACATAGAGAAGTTCCATGCTGTCTTGGCAATGCTACAAAGGACACAAGAAGAGCCTGCAGGATCAGGCCAACAGCCCATCTCATCCAGCATCTCGTCCACCCAGTTGCCTGTGGGGAACATGCAAGCTGGACACAAGCAGAAGAGCGCTGTCTCCTCCTGCCGTTTCCAGCAACTTGTTGTGTTATTGGGAGTGCCAACAGACACAGGACACAGAAACCCATCATAGGGAAGTGGCAATAAAACCTGATATGCACAGGGTGGGGGAAACTAACACGGGGATGGGAGAACCTGTGGCCTTCCCGGTGCTTTTGGACTGCAACTCCCATCAGTCCAAGCCAGTTTGGCCAATGGTCAGGGGGGGGGGGATGGGAGTTGCAGTCCAGCAACACTGAGAGGGCCACCTCCATCTCTGCTGTAGCATACAGTTCAGTACACCGGTTCCATTGAAGTCAGCTATCACTCAGTAGTTTATTAGGCTCTAAAGCAGCCCTTAAAGGTAAAGGGAACCCTGACCGTTAGGTCCAGTCGTGACTGACTCTGGGGTTGCGGCGCTCATCTCGCTTTATTGGCCGAGGGAGCCGGTGTTTGTCCGCAGACAGCTTCCGGGTCATGCGGCCAGCATGACTAAGCCACTTCTGGCGAACCAGAGCAGCACACGGAAACGCTGTTTACCTTACGACTGGAGCGGTACCTATTTATCTACTTGCACTTTGACATGCTTTCGAACTGCTAGGTTGGCAGGAGCAGGGACCGAGCAACAGGAGCTCACCCCGTCGTGGGGATTCGAACCACCGACCTTCTGATCAGCAAGTCCTAGGCTCTGTGGTTTAACCCACAGCGCCACCCGCGTCCCTTAAAGCAGCCCTTGGTATGAGACAAATCGGTCAATCCTGCTTTAGAAGAAAACTTGAGAACCCCCTGCATTATCTCATTCTTTCACTTTAAACAATCAGTTGCTTTCTCAGGTTTGTTCTTTCCTATTGGGAATGTGCACTAATGGGAACTGAGATCCTGCATGGGGGAGCTCTTGAATGGGATTCCTGCGCTGTACTTTGAAGGCAACTTGGAAACTCAAACTTTCGGTCATTCACAGCCTCTATGTTTCTATATTGGTGCTAAGAGGCTTAGCCTTCAATGCCCTCCGCCTGCAGTGAAGCAAAATATTAGAGCTTTCAGCACTCGGCTTTATCTCCCAGTAGTCTTATCATAAACTATGGAATCGAGATCTGAGTTTCTAGCTTGTGGTTTAATTGCTTATTTAACAGCCTGTGGTTTTTCAGAGATGAAATCTCTAGGAAGGCTTTTCCGATGTTCCGGTATCACCAAGCAATGAAGAGAAAGATATTTGTAACTGCTATTAAACCAGCTTAAGTTAAAAGACTGGCAGCATTTTAGATGACTGTGAACTATTTCAGTTTTGTACACAGAGTCAAAATGGTTATTTAATTGCTTTATGTGGCAAGCATGATTGTTAAACAAGGCTCTAAGTTGTGGTGTTGTTTTGCTGCTGCTGTTGTAATAAATCAGCATCTTGACATGTTTTATGGTCTCCAGCAACAAAAACCTTTAAAAACCCTCAACTATTTTAAAATGCATTTTCTTTTTTAAAAATTGAATTGTGAATGAGGTGGATAGACTGCATTCAAGTTCATTGCATAGCTTTGCTCTGACCGGTGCCTTCCGCAACTCCCAGATGGAATATTTTGGACTGGGATTATCACTAATCTCACAGGAAGAGACTTTATCACTGCCTATGTGAATCAAAGAATAGTTCCTGTTCATTAAAGGGAGAAGCACCTTAGTCAACTCCCTGATTTCAGTTCCATCAGGAATATGTGAAATCCTCATATTTCATGCTTCAGTTGTAGGTGTCTTTGGTTTTTGAAATATTGTCTCTTCTCCCATATAGAAGCAGAGGGAGAAGTTGGACGCAGGGCTCTGCCCTACCGAGGCACCAGCCCTGTTAGGCTCCTCCCTCCCTCAACTGTCGCCTGGCTGTGGCAGAGGGAGAAATTGGAAGCAGGATCAGTCCTTTGGCTCCACTAAGAAACCAGCTGCACTTGGCCCCTCCTATTCCTGAATGGCTTCCTTTCCATTATCAGAACAACTACCGGTATGTAACTACTAAGTGGTGCCTGAGTTTTCTTGTTTTCCTCTTCCCTCCCCATCCCATTTTTCCCTTTGTGCCTTGTCTTTTAAAGGGCAAAGTCTTGTATGTGGAAGCCATCTTGCTTTTATTGAACTCATGCAAGCTGCTCTGGGAGCCTTTCTAGCTGAAGAGTGGGCTAAAAATACTTCAGATAAATCAACAAACAATCAATATAATTGTTTTTCCAGAAGGGACAAGTTCTACTCCCACAAGGGCTATTAAAAACATGGAAGAAAAACAACATTTGTAGTAAATTAATTGAAGAGCAGATTAAAAATGCCTCAAATAAACAAACAAACTATGCACACAAACACACACACAGTGCAATGATTTAATGAGGGAAGCTAATCAGGCAGTGAAGGAATTTAAAGATAAAAGATAAGGACCTGATGCCTACCTGGTGCAAGTGCCACCGTTGCGGCATGGATGATAGTCACAAACAGGGACATTGCAGTTCTCGATGTTCCTTCCTCCCAAGGCTTCGTCTATGATGAAGAGTTCTTTGTTGTTCACCTGGAACTCCCTAATGCAGCCTCTGAAGCCATAAATCCACCCAGAACTCGAATGAATCTTAATGTGACTTGGGACATTCCCAAGGAATATTGGCCCAAAGGTAACCTGAAAAGGATCACAATAAATAAGCATATACACACAAAAATAAATCAGTCCTTACTGCAACTGCCTATAGACTCTATTCATGAAGGAAACTGAGGGAATAGGACACAGAAACGTGGTTCATCTTGTACTCATAAGTGTACAAATGTTTCCTGCTTCATCCATGGGTGTGCCTGGGATTCTAACTTCATGACAGCTTGGTGATCTCCAGATATCACTGAACTCCATGTCCCATTATGCCTGGCCATGAGGCCAGGCTGGCTGTGGCTGATGGGATTTGTAGTCCAACAATACCTGGAGGGCACCGCCATGTTGATTACTGCTGATGTAAGTAATCCAGAGACTGTATGGGTGACATAAGGCTGCTCCAGACAACTACCAGTTCACTAACATAAGTCCCATTGACATAAACCGAAGTTGTACACGAGTATTATCTCTAATTTCTATTGGATGTGCAGCATACCCAAAGGATTGCATCTAAACGGTCATTGTAATGAAACAAGGTTTGCTCCATCTAATAATAAAAAGAGAAGTTAATAAATCATGCTTCCAAAGACTTGTGAGATAAATGGAAATAGTTGGGTTATGGTGTGACTTTGGGCTGTGATTTGCAAGTTCACCTGAGTCAACCGATGTGGCAGAAAGAGCCCCCGACGTACAGGAGGATTTTCATCTGCAGTCATTTCAAGCAGGCAATAGCCTTCGGGACTGTCAGAAGGCAACATATAGCTGGAAGGAAGCAGAAGAACTCATTGTTTGGGATGGGAAACAGGAATTGTTATGAAAATGGATTGCTAGCGTGAGAGTTAAATCTTGCATGGGCCTAGTTCCTATATGTGACAGCCCCCAGATGAACGTATGTGAAAGAGTGCATGGCCGCAGAAGGAAAATGAGTGGACAAACCGCTTGTTTTGAACCAGCACCAACACTTGGGTCCAACACATGTGGCCGCCACAAGTTGTGGTGGCTACATGTACAGGCCAAGCAGGGAAATGCTGGTTTATAAAGAACCATCAGACTGCAGCAGACGAGGGAAGAGAAAAGATGCAGGGTTGCTCCACCAGCACAGCTGAGACAGCAGCAACTTTTGGCTCCTCTTCTCCTTGAGCTATTCCACCCCAGCTGGTCATTGCAGCTAAGAACTTTGCCCCCAAGTTTGTTTATTTCCTCCTCCCTCTGAATTCATTTTCCTTTTGTGTGCATTCCTTTTAGAATGCAAAACCTGAGGACACAGGCTGTCTTTTGTGGGATCTGCAGCTTTGGGGGAGTATTTCTTTTTTGGCTGAAAAGTTGAATAAGGGAGGGCCGTGACTCAGTGGTAGAGCATCTGCTTTGCATGCAGAAGGTTCCATGTTCAATCCCAGGTAGGGCTAAGAGAGATTCCTGCCTGAAACCCTGGAGAGCTGCTGTCAGTCAGTGTAAACAATATTGATGTGGACGGATCAATAGTCTGACCAATAGTAAGGCACCTTAAAGGTAAAGGGTAAAGGGACCCCTGACCATGAGGTCCAGTTGCAGACAACTCTGGGGTTGCGGCGCTCATCTCGCTTTACTGGTGGAGGGAGCCGGCGTACAGCTTCCGGGTCATGTGGCCAGCATGACTAAGCCACTTCTGGCGAACCAGAGCAGTGCACGGAAATGCTGTTTACCTTCCCGCCGGAGCAGTACCTATTTATCTACTTGCACTTTGACGTGCTTTCGAACTGCTTGGTTGGCAGGAGCAGGGACTGAGCAACGGGAGCTCACCCCATCACGGGGATTCGAACCGCCGACCTTCTGATCGGCAAGTCCTAGGCTCTCTGGTTTAACCCACAGTGCCACCTGCGTCCCTTACTATGTCCCTAAACATTATTTAAATGGATAAATAATAAAGCCAGTACCTCCATTGGTCTCTCTCTCTCTCTCTCTCTCTCTCACACACACACACACACACACACAGAGAGAGAGAGAGAGAGAGAGAGAGAGAGAGAGAGATATTATAAGGGGTGGTCTCCATGTGTATGAACTTGTAAAGAGATATATGGAAAGTTGGCAGGTTATATAGACTTTCAAAAGCAGACCAAAGTTCTAAGTTCATTTCTTTTTTCTTTTTTAAGGTATCCCTTTTTTTATTACTCCCCTCATGCCTATTGTTTGAGAATCTGAAATGTACACAGAAAAAAGAGAGTGAGGGCAGGGGGAGCTTTTTACATGTGTAAGCACTGTAGATACTGATGAATTCTACTAACTGTGGTTGACATATACTTTCCCTGGTGTAGGTGATTGTTGAACAAGTAACATCAGTGCTGAATGATAGTGAACTCTCTAGACAGACGTTTTCCTTTTTGCTGGTCTACGGGGGAAATAAAAATGCTTTGGAAAACGAAGGGCTGTACCTACGAGCATCAAGATTACACTGCGATAAGAGTTATCACAACTCACAAAGGATGCTATTAATGTATACACTGGTACTGAGTTTTGGAGATAAAGCAGGACACAAGGTTAAGGGAATTTGTAAAATAAATGCAAGGGATGACAAATAAGCTACTGAGAACTCTTTGGGGCTTTTTTCCAACGTGATCAAATCTGAGGGGAAAATGTCGTGTACATTATCAGCAATAAAAAACCCATTCCCAAAGGATAGCTTTCACATAATTGTTTTTAAATTATTATTTTGTGAGGGTGGTGGTGGGGGAAACCCCCTCTATGAGTGCTAATTATTATTTCAGCGGTTGTCAAATGTGAGAACATAATGGGAAAGCGCTTAATTAAAATGAGCACTCAATTTGGTGAAAGCATCCTTTCTCCCCATGCTTCATTTTGAATTTCCACTTAACATTTGCGCCTGGCAACCTAATGTCAACACTCGCACCCCAATCAAGGCATCCACTGGCGCTGAGAGGCAGGCAGGAATCTGTTGCATGGGCTGGGGGTCCCTGCTCAACCCAGTAAAGAGGGCTAGTCTGTAGGAGAAACAGAAGGCACTGAGCATCCATCTATTACCACACTGTAATACAGAAAAGCTCCAAAGATAAAGGGAGCCATAACCTTTTTGAACTTCCTGCATTTGGAACAGATGCATCAGTATCCTTGATAGCAAGTATCAGTGCTGAATCTTATCTCTGGACTTTTGCAGAACGGTTGGGAAGAGGCTGCCCTGCCCATGGAATAAGTTTCAAGCCAAGAGTGAGGAAAATTCTTTTTGCTGTAGGACCAGTCACCCATGGGAAACATTGGGGGCCCATGGTGGCTTGAGCCATAGGCTAAAGTGGGTGGAGTTTGCAGGATTGCACAGTGAGGGTTGTGACGTTAACATATGAGAGTGCTGGAGGTGAAATAGTTAAACAGGTTACCCAATCAGAACCCAGGGGGGTGGAGTCAGAGGGACTATAAAACCAGTTCTGGGAGGGGCGAAGGGAGGCGTTTGTTGGAAGTTGGGTGTTTGGTTGGAGTGGGAGTGAATTGGGATAGAATATGTGGGTAGGTTGAGTTAGTGAAGCAAAATAAGCTGAGTCAGGAAAAGTTAGGAGCTAGGAAGACAAGTAAATATCTGAGAGGTGGTTTAGTGAGTGAGAGCAGGTAGCGGAAGTTATAGGTCTGGATAGGCACCCCGTGATTGTAATTGACCGATACAGTTTATGAAACCACAAGCTTGTTAAACTGCAATAAATAAACAGAAGTTTATGTTCCAATTTAACCCTGACTGGACTCAGTATTGTACCAGCACAAAGCATCAAGCACAAAGCATCAAGCTTGCCTGATGGAACCATCTACTCTCTCCTCCCCTGCTATCTCCAAGTCTGCAGCCCTGTTTTTTCTGGTGAGACTCATTGCCCTGCCTCCTACTAGTGCAACTATGTAGTTTCTTCATTTTCCCATTTTCTGCTCGTGAACTCTCTCTAGAGCCTGACACTTAACTCCTCTGTGGCAGAGGTCATTCCCCTCTCCTTTACACAATGTGAATAACTGGATGTATCTTTTAGATACAACCAGCTATCTTATAAGTGGTAAAAATGGCTGCTGATAGATGAAGAAGAAGAAGAAGAAGAAGAAGAAGAAGAAGAAGAAGAAGAAGAAGAAGAAGAAGAGTTTGGATTTGATATCCCGCCTTTCACTCCCTTTAAGGAGTCTCAAAGCGGCTAACAATCTCCTTTCCCTTCCTCCCCCACAACAAACACTCTGTGAGGTGAGTGAGGCTGAGAGACTTCAGAGAAGTGTGACCGGCCCAAGGTCACCCAGCAGCTGCATGTGGAGGAGCGGAGACGCGAACCCGGTTCCCCAGATTACGAGACTACCGCTCTTAACCACTACACCACACTGGCTCTCAGTGGCCATGCTATGGCTGGAATGGAACTAATGGCACTCTTTAAACAGCTCAAGGTTGTCAAGGCCTCAGTTCAGGAGGGCAGGGACACCTAGATCTTGCAAAGCCTGAAGTACGTATATCTGCTGTATAAGGAAATAAACAATCTCAACCCACAGACTCCCGTAACCCTTGCAGCCTGGACTGTGGTGTCTTGGGGGGAGGGGGGGAGGTAGCCATTTGAACAATGACTCCACTGTGGGGATAATGCCTTCACTGCCACTCCCATTTCAACTCTCCATACTCCTGGGCAGAGTCTACTTTCTCCTACCTGGCTTTCTGTGGCCTCACTTGCTACTTTAACAAATTCAGAGAAGGCAGGGTGGGAGACCATGGGCAAGGGTAGCACTGTCTTGAGAACCTGCACTGAATGGTCTTTCTTTTGCTACCACCTGCATGAGAAGGCAACACACTAGGCCAAGGTATCCTTAGGCAACTGGTAAGCATGAAACAGATTTAATCAAAAATACATGAACTGTTCTGCAAATCCAGCACTTCCTACAGACAGAATCTCTAGAGCAGGCATGTGGCTACTAGCTACACATTTTTATATTTTCTTTGATTAGCAATGTCTATGAATGCAGCCTCTTCCCCCTGCCCTGACTACAAATATATGAAATTTGGTATAATGGGACATGTTGCACTTGTACAGAGAAGCTTGCATTTTACAGCATATAAATATTTGTGCATGTGATGCCTGAAACTGATATGGAAACATTTTCTTTACAACTTAAAAATTGGGCCTTGTTAACTCAGCAAAGAGACTGACGCATTCCGGCTTTTTTTGTAACCCAGAAGCCTAGCAGATCACATCAGAAAGACCAATGATGAATCCAGCAGTGCAGCCTCAAGATGTTTTTAAGCTGTATTTTTCATAATTAACCTCATACCGTATGATACCAACCTGCCCTTATGCTATAAACAGTGATGGCAATGCCTAATCGCCTACCTCGCAGCAAACAATAGCTTTTACCCTGTTGGCTTGTTTTGATGTTTGATGGAAGCATTTCTTCTGTTACTCTGCCACATACCTATGCTAGAAATTTCAACTGTATTTGAAATCCAGCATTCCTCCTTCCCTGTCAAGGTTGCTTCCCAGCCAAAGGAACGCACACGGCAGATAACGAAGTATTGATAGTCAAAGATAACACTTAAAAAGTCACTTCTGCAGCTCTGGATATTTATGCACACCAATATAACAGCTAGGCAGCATTCCCAGGTGTGAGCTCTAAGGAGCAGTTGCATCAGCAGGGGACCAGTCTCCCTCTGCTATAGTTTATGTACCTCCCCTCAATGGGCTGTGTGCATGCAGCTGGAGACTGCTCTGTGCAGAAACGTCCTATGCTCACCCCTTTTCAATTCCCTCCTGGTTCAGGGAGAAAGTGGT